GCGGCGATCTCGGTTGCCATCTAGATTAGCCCTGCGACCGTGGTTATCGCGGCGATTATCACAGTTGTCTCGGCGGTTGTCGTCCCGGGCGTTGCGGCGGTTGTCCTCCCGACGGCGGTTGTCATCTCGACCACCATCATGGCCACCGTTGCCACCTTGACGATTGTCTGATGGGTCGTTGTTGCGTGAGCCACGTTGGTTGGGTGGCTGTGAGCGACTTGAGTACTGGCAGCTTGACTCGACTGAGACAGATGGAGCCCGGGCATGATTTACAATCTCTGCGGTCTGGGCCATAGCGGCCGTCAGATAGGCTTGTATTTCATCGCGAACTGCCTGAGTTTCCGGGGTATTGGGTAGCCGTTGCATTGTCGCCATAGCAACGGCTACGTTGGCGCTTGGAGTCCTGAAGACATGTTTGTCCCCCACCCTATCGAAGGCATTGTTGAGGTCGCGTGGCTGGACCCTTATGCGTCGTGCCTCCTCTTCTGCTTCGGCGTCGATTTGTCGGTGATTAAACCGATCAATATTGCGTGCTTCGCGTGCAATCCTTTCCTGTTCGGTTTCGCCAACTGCTGGTGGTTCGTCATTGCTGACAACGTTGATCAAATCCCCTCGTCTTGGTGGGAAAGACGGGAATTGTGGGAACCCCGGGGCGTGGTCTGGGATATCCAGATCATATTTGACGCCTTCATCATCGTGATGCTGGAGCTCAGTGTGGTCGGAGGCATTAGATGCGATGCCCGACGAGGAGCTGGAGTCACCCTCTTGGACTGTGTGGACGGATCCTTCTTGATAATCCTCAATTCTGATCATGTTGACGAAGTTGCGTTGTACATTATACTCGTAGTTGGAGGCAGTGTTTCGCAGGTCGTAGGGTTGGGCCTGGTAGTTCTCCGTCGAGGCTTCGTACTCGGAGAGCCGGAGACCCGTCGCGGAGGCTGGCCGGCGATGAGCGGAGCGCCCTTCAGGAGTAGATATGACCACGAGATCTGTACCAAGTCGTGCAGGACGACTGGCCCGAGCTGGTCAAAGACGCACTTACATTTCTTTTCAGAAATACAAGTGGGCACACTTCCCAGGACGGAAATCTTTTTCTTTCTTCTTAAGAGCACCATACATTCTTCGGACAACCTACTTCTCCGGCGACAACGGTGGTCGGAGATGTCAAGAACTCAAGCCTCACTGTTCGGAGAAGGTTGAAACGGCATGTCGCATCAGAATACATGGCACTCGGGGACTAGCTATGGGGGATATACCCCTGGGTACCATAAGATGGTACATGGGCCGCACCATCCGAGGTGGCCCGGCCCGTAAGATCAAGGCGTGCACATCAACCACGTCGACCACGTCCCGAGCAGTTTTGCTGAGCTCCAACCACATCGACCACGTCCCGAGCGGCTCTGCCAAGCTCCGACCACCTCGACCACCAGACCACGTCGCAATGATGATCGCCGCGAAGAACGGCGCTACGACAACCGCGACCATCATCGTGACGACAAGTCGGAAAGCTCGAGGACTGGACAACTTCATCGCCACCGACCAGATTTCTATCCAAAGATAAGTACACTTCTAATATTTATATTTAACACAATTTTCATTACGACGTTTCTCCACAGCGTCCTCGTCATGATTATTCTTCAAATAACGTTTGTCCATGTATACCATCTTAAAGATAACATACAGCTATACTTAATGCAAATCCTCGACCAATCATGTTGACACTCGATGTCTCCAGAAAAGGCCATGTCTCCGGCTCCTCCCTACACGTGCACGAGCATCTGCCCTCTGCGTTATGGGTGGTTGGCAGCGGCTCTTTAGCGACGCTTTGTTTCTTCCTACACGTGCACGGTCTCCGCGCCCCGCGTTATGGTTAACGGGCTAGCTAGGGCTGGAGACTCAGCTATATACTAACTGGTCGGGCAGTTTATATTAAGTATAAACACAAACTTCACATTAACACTGATGTTTACAAAGCACCAACTGCTTTATCACATCATGCTCATTTGCAAATGACTGTTGAGCGTCATTTTCTCCATAATTTATTATTTTGTACATCATGTACTACCATTCCACATATTTATATTACAGTAATTTCGAGCTATGCTCGGGGACTTCGTCACTCGCTCCACGACCTGTGCTCGGGGACTGCCTCGACCACTCTCGGACCACGGCTCGGGGACTTCGTCGCTCGCTTCTCATGCACAGGGATTGCCTCGATCACTCTCCGACCACAGCTCGGGGACTTCGTCGCTCGCTCCTCGACTTGTGCTCGGGGACTACCTCGACCACTCTCCGACCACGGCTCGGGGACTTCGTCGCTCGCTCCTCGACCTATGCTCGGGGACTGCTCGACCACTCTCCGACCACGGCTCGAGGACTTTGCGTCTCGACTACATGCGATCGGGCGATGGCGGCGACTCGTGACTGATTGGGATATTTTTTCTCACTTAGACCTTGCTACAAGGCTCATACCTCGCCTTCCAAAGAAGCTCGGGGACTACATCGAGACGATGCACCCCTTGGTGCATCTTGTATCGCTTTGTACTGACGATTCATTCGCTCTCAACTTAACTGGGAATTCTTTTTAGACCCTGGCACCACGTGCCTACGTCACCTACTACCAGGCTCGGAGACTAAGTGGGCACACTTCACCTTACGGTGAATGTGTTTGTTTTTCGACCCCTACGCCTCTGATGATCAAGGACGCTACGCTTCAAAACGCACTTACATTTCTTTTCAGAAATACAAGTGGGCACACTTTCCAGGACGGAAATCTTTTTCTTTGTTCTTAAGAGCACCATACATTCTTCGGACAACCTACTTCTCCGGCGACAACGGTGGTTGGAGATCTCAAGAACTCAAGCCTCACTGTTCGGAGAAGGTTGAAACGGCGTGTCACATCAGAATACATGGCGCTCGGGGACTAGCTGTGGGGGATATACCCTCGGGTACCACAAGATGGTACATGGGCCGCACCATCCGAGGTGGCCCCGCCCGTAAGATCAAGGCGTGCACATCAAGATTACAAGTTGTACTAGATATTGTAATAGTACCAAATTGGATACTTTACTTGTAACCTTATATTTTCGGAGTATATAAGGAGAGACAAGGGTCCCCTAGAGGACAGGTTAATCTAGATACATCTCCATACAATACACCAAAGACACAGGACATAGGGTATTACGTCGATCAGACGCCCGAAACCTGTCTAAATCGTTGTCTCTGCGCCTTGTGTCACCATCTGGTTCCTGATTACACGCACCGTCTACCGATAATCTACCACCACGGGCACCCCCCTCGGTGGACTGCCGGCCATATTTCGTCGACACGCGCCGACTTCTACATCCCCGGCGATTGTGTGCTGATGCAGGATTGGGTGCGTTCCTGCATGACCTGCCAGCGCAACAAGACGGAGACTTTGCAGCCGGCCGGCCTGCTGCAGCCGCTAGAGGTGCCATCCCAGGTGTGGGCGGACATCTCCATGGACTTCGTTGAGGGTCTTGCCAAGGTTGGAGGCAAATCCGTCGTGCTCACGGTGGTCGACCGCTTCTCCAAGTATGCGCACTTCATCACGCTCACCACCCCTACACCGCCACCTCCGTCGCGCGTGCCTTCTTCGACGGCATCATCCGGCTACACGGGTTCCCCTCTTCCATCGTTAGTGACCGGGATCCCATGTTCACAGGACACGTTTGGCGCGACCTCTTCCGGATGGCCGGCGTCAAGTTGCGCATGAGCACGGCTTTTCACCCGCAGACCAATGGTCAGTCCGAGGCAGTGAACAAGGTGCTGGCCATGTATCTGCGCTATGTGACGGGTGATCGGCCACGTGCTTGGGTGGACTGGCTCGCTTGGGTGGAGTTCTGCTACAACACCTCCTACCACACCGCCCTTTGCGCCACTCCGTTCGAGGTGGTCTATGGTCATCCACCGCCGCCCCTCTTGCCATACACTCCAGGGACGGCGTGGACGGACGCGGTGGACGCTCTTCTACGCAGCCGGGACGAGATCCTTGCCGAGGTCCGTCAGTGGCTTTTGCAGGCGCAGTAGCTCTCCAAGCGGTTCTATGACGCCAATCACCGCGATGTTGAGTTCGTTGTCGGGGAATGGGTCTGGCTGCGCCTGCTACACAGGATGGCGCAGTCCCTGGACCCCCGCTCCAGGCGCAAGCTGGGGCCCTGTTATGCTGGTCTGTTTCAGGTCCTGGAGCGCATTGGGCTGGTGGCCTACCGCCTTCAGTTGCCCGAGGGAGCACGGATCCACGACGTGTTCCACGTGGGGCTGTTGAAGAAGCACCGCGGCGATCCGCCGGCAGCCCCGGCCTCTCTTCCACCGGTCCTGGATGGTCGGGTCCTGCAGGATCCTGAGCGGGCACTGCAGGCACAGCAGTGCCGCGGCGTCTGGCGCGTGTTGATTAAGTGGCGTGGCCTGCCCGATTAAGATGCGACTTGGGAGTCTCTCGACGACTTCCGCGACCACTTTCCCGCCTTCCAGCTCGAGGACGAGCTGTTTGCGCAGGCGGGGAGAGATGTTATGACCGGCAAGACGTACACGAGGAGGAGGCCCATTAGTGGCTAGATTAGGCGCAGGGGTGGGGCTCCCAGCCCATATTATTATCCTTATTTATTTCCTATTATTAGAGGACTCATATAAATAGGCCACTTGTAAGACCATTGGACTTTAAGCAAGAGGATCATAATTCTCGGCTTCCCTTAGGGAGCTGGGAGACCCCAAAGACCTAGCCGCCTCCTTCCATCTTCTCGCGTGGGCGATCACGGCGCCCCGACGCCGTGCCTCGCCACTTCTCCTCCGTCCTCCTTCCACACACTCATACAATCTGAGAGCTCGCACCGGTAGGGATCCAATCCCTATCAGGGACACTTGTGATAGCACTGCACCACCAACTAGAAAAACGAGTTGCGGTAGGCTCTGGTGTTAATGTCTTGTGTTTCAGTGATATGGTACTAAGCAGCTGGGTCCTTCTGATTTCATTCCTGCAGGACACGTTCCGCTGTAGCTTTGAGTCATCAGTTATTCCGGCGTTTGAACAATCATGCATGACAATATTCGAGCAAGTAGATGGTGCATTCCACAAGGGCATGTCTGAGTACACTGCTGCTATCCAGAAGCAGGTCCTGACAGCACATACTCCATTAGCACAAACTCTGATAGTAAGTTTACCAAATCTTTTGTTGTAAACAATAGATGGACAGCGGAAAGATGAAACACTCCAACCAATATGCCGTCTTTTATCTATTTTCAGTTTTCACCCCATATGTTGAATGACACGCCTTCTGTCCATTTCAATTCTCTCAGGAAGCAATCACTTCAGCATCGTCAATGAACCAGGGTCTTACATCAGAGTTGCTTGACGGCCAGCGCAAACTTTTGTCACTGTTTGCATCAGGGAGCCCAACATCAAAGACCACAGGTGCTTTGCAGCCCAGTAACGGTCCAGTGACCAATCTTGTTGAGGTAGAAGATGCTTCTAAATCAGTAAATCTTGATATCATGATGATGCTATCATCTGTTATTATCTGTATAGTTGAATATAGTGTTTCACAGATACTGGATGATTGATTTGGAGTATTTGCTGTCAGGTTAATGCTCCATTGGACCCTATGAAAGAACTAGGTCAGCTGATTGCTGAGCAGAAATTCAACGAGGCATTTACAATGGCTCTTCAAAGGAGCGATGTCGCCATAGTTTCTTGGTTGTGTTCTCAGGTAAACTCAGGCCCATTTAAAATTCTCCTTACTGCACCAAGCAGACAAGCATCAACTGAATCTTTTGCTAAAATTTAGAAGTCATGTTATCGTGGAACATGCTTCACGCATTACAGGAAGCAGTCATTTATCAGATAATTTGGGCATCTTATTTTTATATAAATATTATGTGCATATTTACACGTTTATTTCAGGTTGATCTGCAAACGTTATGTGGAACGGTTCCCATCCCTCTGAACCAAGGGGTCCTCCTAGCCCCCTCTTCCAGCAGCTAGCATGTGACATTGCCAACGATACCTCCCGGAAGCTTCAATGGATGACAAATGTTGCCGTGGCAATACAACCAACAGATCCGATGATCGCTATGCATGTAAGGCCAATATTTGAACAAGTCTATGGTGCCCTTGCACACCATCAGTCAATGCCAACAACCAATACATCGGACACAACAAACATCCGCTTAATCCTACATGTAATCGCTTCGGTGTTGATGGGCCACAAGTGACATTCGGGGCATTGCATCTTTGTACATAGAAAATTTTGCGTCACAGATGAGACCAAAAGAAAAGGAATGATACATTGTATCCGATAGAAGGATGGAACTGTAGTTAACATGGGGGAAGATGTCGTCCAGTGTAAATTGGTCATGCGCGACATGGTTGCATTTGATGTTGTGTTCATTAACTTGGATGTTGGGTACATGGATCTGTTTTGTCGGGAGCACGCGCAATAGTTATCTGTTATGGTGTTACCTCTATTTTCATGCCTACATTCAGAGTTCCGGAGCTTGTGTGGGCTCATCGTCTTGGGCGCTTGGTCGTGAGTGTGTGACACATCCTCGGGCCTGTTTGTTTGGGCTTTGAAGACGTCATGTGAAAGCGCCTTCCTTGTGTGTTCTGTTTAATCTGTCTGAAAAAGTACATCCGACCATTGTATGAGTCCGATTTGCTTCGGTTAACAGAAGACCATATTCTTAGACTCAACTCTTGAAAACATTCAATTTACATCTCTAAGTGGTTTTTGCTAACGTGGTGCCGGAAGTGGTTTTGGCTAATGTGGCATCGTGTTAACGTCACGCTATGTCAACGAGGTAATATAGACTATCGTTTATGGAGATCACTTAAGACTTATTAAAAAAAATAGAGCAAGATTTTATGAAACGAATGAAGTTTTCGAGCTTGTCCAAACTGCCTTCCCACTCAATTATTTGCTCTCGGTGCGTGCGCAAACCTATGATGACGACGACGAACAAGTGGTCTTGGCGCCCAAGTTGCACATGTCAGTTCAGGAGCCTGAGAAGTTGCACGCCGACTGCCACTGATAGTTCAATGAATCCGACACATCATCGTCATGATGTCTGCCGAAGAAGACAATGCTCTTATAAAGTTAAATCACATGATAGATGACACATGATGATTAGCAAGACATTGCTACTGAGCAAACGTTTTTCCTAGTTGCATAGAAGGGTTACGTGGTGATTCACGCTGCAGCCTGCAAGGATTTGTCTTGGTGTGCATCCTCCATTTCATATTTAGCTAAATTTTAAATTTTAGAAGACCATATAAGATTCAAATAATTCTAAGCGAGAAATAAAAAGGTAGAGTATAATTAGGAAAAAATGAATTTGGTTTCATTTTTTTTTTTTTTTGAGTTAAAACATTTTTTATGAATTTTCTATTCTTAAATCAAATTTAGTATTTTTAAATACATATTTATTCCGAAAAATATTTGGGTATTTTTTTTAAAAGTTATTTTTATACTTTATTTAAAAAGTCTAATTGACCTTTCTGAATGACGCCCTAAGACAAGGTACAATTGTTGGAAAGGGAACATGATCAATATAGTCTAGCTGGATCCGCTTGGATAGTGGGGCTCATTCTTAATTAACCGGTGCTAGTTGTTTTATTCCGAAGCAAAGATATTCTTGGAGGCCGCTCGTTCATCCTGTTACGAGCTTGTTTGGTTCCTAGCCGTTGGTAGCCATGCCATGCTGTGGTGCCGCCGCACTTTGTGGAGGAGAAATCATGAGCCTAAGGTTTGGCAAGAAAATGAACTGCATGCGCTGTGGCTGCTGCAAGTTTGTAACAAACTAAACAACGCCTTTGGTTTCCGTGGCTGCCATCAGTTGTGGCGTGGCGTGTTGTGACTTACAACCAAACATGTCCTATATATTCAGGTCTAAGAGATATTTAGATATTCTCTTACAGATAGATCTGAAAGGAGAAGAGGAGCTGAAATGCCAGCAGGATCAATAACCAAAGATCAAAGTTTATTTTAATCCCATCTCATCTTCCTGTTCATATTGAAAGTAGCGAGACACTCCACTACCCTACGGAGGCCAAATGGAAGGATCGAAGAATCATGATGTGCATTTCCACGAAAGTGAAGGAGACTTACGCGAAAGTATGATTTACTTCCCTCATTGCTGATATGGCGCCACGTAGGACGACTAATATGGCACTACATAGAGCGACTAACATGAGGAGTTTTAAAATCTAGTTTTCCAATTAAAGGAGACAAATCATGCAGGAGGTTAGATGGACCTTTTTAGGTGTGCACTTGAGTGGGTTCACCTATCATGCCAAAGAATTATGCACTTGCGGTTTTCGTGTGTTTGCAACGTATTAAGCCTGATATTGTGAATAAGACTATATTAGTTTTAAACTGACCGAAGCTCACCTGGACGGGTTCCTCGTGGTGGAGCCTGTCCATCTGGTTTTGAAGTAATTGAGTTGATATGGGTGCTCGTACTTTCCTGAATTTATTCTAGGATTTAACAGATGTGCTCGTATTTTTCTTGATTTATTTCAGAATTTAACGATATTCTTTCAGTGGTACATCTACCAGTTCAGTCTCAGTTTAAGCTGTTACTGTTTGTGTGTATTGGTAAGGATGAGTGTACGTGTATGTACAAAGGTATGCATATTGAAAAAAAAGAAGACTATTAGCTTACTATTATTTACACAAAAGTTATGGCGCCAACATGTGGGCCCTACTGCTGAGCCCCTGGCAACAGGGCCCTCCGCCCCGCACACTAATGATGGCTACTAGTCTACTACCAGCACTGGTCCGTTTCCCACCGACGCACACGCACGACGCCGGCGCCCGGCCGCGGCCGGTGGGGCGGCCCGAGCGAGCGGTCGTACTGCGCTCGCGCGTCCGGGTCCGACAGCGTCTCGTAGGCGCGCTGGATCTCCAGGAACGCCGCCGCAGTTCGGGACGAGGACGAGCGGGAGGTGTCGGGGTGAAGGCGCTTGGCCATGGCGCGGTACGCGGCCTTGATCTCCACCTGCGTCGCGGCGCGGCCGACCCGCAGCGCCTCGTACAGGCTCCCCGCCGCCGCGAGTGCCGGCGCCGTGGCCAGGGGCACGGCTCCCGCCATGAGACCGCCGGCCGCCCACCGCTCCTTGCCTGCTCCGCTTATTATATTGCTGGCTCTAGGGAAGAAGGAAGATGATGTGAGCTCTGCCTGAGCTGTGGAATGACGACTTGGTTGGCGAGTGCGAGCCTCAGTGACGGTTTGGACGAGGTGGATTGGGTTTATAAGCCCACCTGCAGCCCCTTAATTAAAGGTGGAGATGCGATGTCGCTGGAGAAGATGAGTGCGCGTGGCACTAGGCGCTAGCCATCAAAGGTGCCGTCGCGGGATGGGGCGTTGCTTTCTTCTAGAAGATGCTTTCTTGTAGAAGAATTAGTTGGCTCGTCTGAAGGTGCGCCTCCTTCTAGAAGATGCTTTCTTCTAGAAGAATTAATTGGTTAACTTCTGTCATTCTGTGTCCGCGTCGGAGGAGGCGCACCTTCAGGCGAGCCAGCATGGACGAGTTCGGTTCACCGTGGGCTCCACACCAGGACTTCGAACAGACTTCGAGCTGGTGACCTTTTCTACGCTCGGAGCCCTTCAACGGTGACCATATAGGCTCTGTTTGCAAGCTTCTAGCAGCTTTTCATTCTCCAAAGATCAAAGTGCTAGAAGCTTATTCTGGCTCCGTTCGCGTGCCCTTAAACCCGGCTTGATCCGCTTCTTTTTTTATCCGGAACAGTATTTTTCTCTCACAAATTCCTCCAGCATTCCTTCAAACCATCCAAATTCCTCTAAGCGAACAGGCCCACTACTCACTTCGTCCGGGAAAAAATGCAACTATGGTTGCGTGCCACTAAAAGTAATTCGTGTTTGATCAAGTTTCTAGTAAATAATATTCATATTTATAGCTCCAAATCAATGTATTGTGAAAATACATTTCGTAATTAATCTAATGATATTTATTTAATATTATAAATATTAATATTTTTTAATTTATAATTGATTAAACTCAGGATGCTAAAACGTGACACTATACTAGAATTATATTCTTTTTTTTTACGGAGGTAGTAGTATCTTGTACCTAAAACTACTCCCTCCGTCCTAAAAAAAATATAATCCTGTATTTCAAACTTTGTCCTAAAAGGAATATAATTATAGAGTTAGAGGTCACCCTTTTTAATGGGACCCACCAATTAAAAATATTCCTACATGACTAAAATCTATCATGCACGAGAGTAACATTCCAAAAGACAATAATTTCTAAAATGATAGAGAAGAAGCAAATATGTAATTTTACACCACATCCTTTCGAGGACAGAGGAGTAGCAACTTGTACCGTTTGAGGATGCCGTTAGAGGCTTCATTATTTATTTGTCTTTCCCAAATCAGACAACAGCCGTAGTCCCTCCAATCCTTAACCCAAATCCTTGCTAATCTCCCACCACTTCAGCTCTCCAGGTTCATCACAACAAGCATTATCACATAAACCTGTACATCTGATGTTTTACTTTTCAGGAAGTCCCCCATCAACAGATAAGGACCAACCAAATTGTAGGTAGAAGCATACGCCCAGTAAATCATCGATCCACCCTATTCCATTCCAGTGGCATAGAAACAACACAAACATCTTATATCACGGATCAAAAAGTTCCATTCTATTTTTTTTCTCGGCAGATGGATTTTGTTTAGTCTCATAATTACACCATTGTTACAACACGACAGCCTCTATGTATCAGCGGTATTATAAAGAGAAAAGAAACATTATCAGTACGAGTGCAGTAACACGAAAGTACAAAATGAACAAGCCTACAAAATCTGGGCAACGATGCATCAGGCCTGTTCGCTGGGAGGAACTTGGATGAATCTAGAGGAATTTGTGAGAAAATGAACAGTGTTTTCATCCGCGCACAGTAAAATCCGGCTGGTTTTTCAACCAGCCGAACGAGCCCCATGTGACAGTTTCACCTCAGGTATTGATCTCCGCCTGCCTATTTACAGCTTCAGTCATTCCTTTTGTGCTCGTCATTCTCATTGTTAATCACCGACACAGCAGCACCACACCGAATCATTTGAAGTTGGATTTGTAACATCTGGGATGAAGAGCTATAGCTTTTGAGTTCTTTTGGATATAGATTGATAATATCAACAAATTATGTTAAGCACACAACTATATACTAAAGTGAAAGTAATAACTACCATGCATGCATGAATTCAACAACATGCTGGTATGATGTAGTTACTGAGTCGGCTGTAGCAAAGAAGCATTGACAACTTGAGCAAAATTGCAGACTATGTAATCTGGCAGTAATGCTGAAGGCTAGCTGTTCAACGCTCATGAACTTGCAGTCTAGAGTAAAATGCAGATCATTGATGCCAACCAAGATTGTTAAATTCGCTAGAGAAGATACTTGCATGCTACATACTGTTTTGTAGGAATCAAATGGTAACTAGATGGCATATTTGCATACAACACCTAATGTTTCAAATCGTCTAATCGATCCTAGTCACGAAGGCACCAATCAGACGATTAGTCGACCCTTGTCAACCTGTTTATAGTTGTCCTGTATATACCAGGACCAACATGCTATATGGTATATAGTATAAAGCAAGAGAGTAAAAAAGCACTAGAGCAGCAGATTCTTGTGGAATTTGATGGCCAGTAGAGCTACAGGAGCAATAAAGCAAGAGGCAAAAGAGCAGCAGCAGAGCTAGCAAGACAGGGTCGCGGATCACAAATCAAAACAGAGCAGACGCAGCAAGATGGAGGATTGGACAGGAGCTCATCATCTTCAGGAAGGAAGAAGGGGCCAGGTCATTATCAGGTAGAATCTGGCTGACAAGGTGGTTGAGGGACGACAGTACCCACAGTGCTTGAAGGGCGCCTGCCAAAGGTAGGGGCGGGTGCCGGTGGCGGTTTGAGGAAGGGATCCAGCGACAGCAGCGGAAGGGAAAGCAGACAGCAGAGTGGCGGGCCAGGGCTCAAGGAGACACGTGTATCTGGCATCTCCCATGGGCACATGTATAGGCCTGACCCTAATGGGCGAAATTGGCAGCCCAAAAGCCCTACCTGCACCCACGTGCATAGGGCCGCCCAGCGCCAACCGAAAGCTAGTCGACCAAATCAGGTCAGCGGACCTAATCGGAGGCAGGGGACCAATCAAGCCAATTAATTGAATGACCTGATAACACAGCCGACACCATAACTTCATGACAAGCGGACTGTTACATATCAATAGCGGTGGCTCACGTGAACATAGGCTGAAAGTACTAAAAACATGACACAAACTACAAACATACCTGGAACCAACTCATCTTTGTGCCAATCATGCAAACTATCATAACATATAAACCCATTAGACATATGGAGATTGCAGAGTATGCAGGTTTTCATGATTGCAACTAAAGATGAGCTTGCAACAGAAATATCTACGATATTGCAACATGCAAGCTGTCAATATTCACCTATCTAGCTCACTATAGTTCGTACGCAGTGCTTCTTGCTCACATCACAAAGTAATGAAGAAGATGTAAGCTGAGTACTTTCGGAATCGAGATTCTTTCTTACCTCTATCTGGCCCTTTATAAAGTTTTCCTGTGCCTTCTGCAGTGAATTTTCAAGATTGCTGGTGCTTGGTCCTGAACCAATGGCACCATTTGCGCTAAAAGGCGAAGGTGCTAAACCATCACTTGAGTTTTGGATCTGGAGTTCTTGGTCTTTCTGTGATTGATTGGAGTTACTTGCTTCAGATTGTGGTGTACTTGATGTAGACTGAGGACCTGACCTGATGATTGAATATGGCATACTTATTAGTATGCTTTATGAAAGAACAAAGCACCCCCTACAATGCTATCAATACAGTAATAATTAGATTAGATTCAGTGATTACAAAGTACATAAAAGTAGACAAGCGTCGTCAGCCACCACCCATTTAGAGAAGATATGCAAGCAAAATCATGAAAAGCTTTGTGTATAGACTACTCCAGAAACATTACCTATTTAGGGTGTTTGCTGGAGGATAAACAAAAGATCTTCCATATAAAGAAGCAGCTGCTGCAGCAGCTTCGAGTTTTGCTTGGCGCCTGCTCATATTGTCACCTGGTGCCCCTTCTGAGGCTGGAGTGTCAGTACCTGCAGCTGCTTTCTCAGATGAAATCACAAATCACAAATAGAACTTACTACACAGTACAGTACTCACTGATATGTTGGACTAAAATCAGATTATGTGACAAAGAAAAAAGAACAAATCAATAAAATGAATCTCACCAGGCTGAACACCAGGTTGACCTCCATGTTGTCGTGCTGATGCAGAACGTCCATAGTCTGGGGGAATAATTGGAGCTCTGCATGTAGGGCAAGTGTGTTGGCGCTCTAGCCATGACCTTAAACAATGCACATGGAACAGATGCCCACAAAGCAGTTTCTTTGCTGTAGTCATCTCCTCACGGCAAATAATACATGTAGCATCGCTCCTGAATACAACAATTACAACAATAAAATGTAAATCACAAGAATTTTTACAGTGGAGGCAACAAGCTAGTGTGAATGGAACAATATAAAACTCACGCATTGAGCTCTTCTGCTGTAGCATCTGGAAAGCGTTCATTCATGTTGGAAGTGATCTTTCTGTAGCGTACATAATCTGCAATGCGAATTCTGAAGTTGCGGAAGGTCTCATATAACTCACGAATCAAGTGCAGTGGGACACCATAGTTCCTGATATTAGTATAATGGATCATCAACCATAGTTTACACTATAGCTTCAAAGGAATAGTACCATAGAACTTACAGGAAGATAGCTATGAAGAAGAGCATGTATAGTGACAAGTGCACAAGGTCACTGATCAGCTCTAAGTAAAATGTATACACTGCCTTCCTCTCCCATTGACCTTCCATTAGCATGTCACTGACATAGAATACATACTTCACAAATGTTGATATTGTCGATGTTGCTAGTATCATATACCTGAAACATGATTTGTATTTAGTAACTACTGTGAGTACTTTGAATCTAAATACATCAAAAAATAATTGCCAGGCAGTTAGAAATCAGAACACGAAATCAGAACAACAGAAGCACATC